CGGTCTAACTCTTCCGAAACAGAGATTATGCCTTTATGAGTTAATGCGAAGGTACCTTACACAATCTGTAGATTGCTGATGCGCTAAATGGCGGATGGAATTATCTAGGGCCTATCCTGATGCCGATACAGAACGAATAGGCGACACGCACGTACGGCCAAACGACGCCATGATACCTTCGCCACCCTCGTTGTCATTTCATGCACCACTGGGATATCCACTTATCTCCACCTCGGCAGCAGGATTTTTCGTCTCTCAAATTGCCCAGGAAAGAACCCTGTAAATCACCGCTGATAACTCAAGCTCCGCCATGCTACAGGCGTCCCTATTTCATGTACCTATACGTGCACTTTGCCGGAGAGTTCAATGCCGGGCGCGCATGTCGATCGTCTCCTCAAGATAGTACATCACGTTGCATCGCCTTCTCCATCTCCCAGATACCGTAAAACAATTATTAAAAATTATTTTCTCGATGCACCGAGACTCGGCGATTTATTAGTGGGACCGAAAACTCCAGATCCTTTTATCTAAGCCGCAAAGATGGGAAACGCGATCTCGCAGAAACGAGACGCGATGGGGCAGGTCTTCCAAGTTTAAGGTCGAAGAGATCACACGGAGGATCGCCGAAGAGATGGTAAAAGTATATAGCGTTATATCTCCTCGATCTCCCGAGAACGTAAAACAATAATTAAAAATGATTTCCTTGATATACAGAGTACCAGAAATTAATAACTCTTCGTCGTCGCTCCTCTTTTCAATTTTTATTTCCGATTTTGTAAATATGGGAACAAAATCACTTCGAGAGTCTTCCTCAGTAGTCGCATTGTTACGCGGAAAAATTGTCAGAGAACGTGCTTTTAAAGTTCGAACAAAATTTGAGAAAACTCAATGCCAAAGGAGTTATTTGATATTTAAATGGCAAATCAACCTGCCGTGCATTTGATTCGTTAATAATTTATAAATGGATAATTTTAGGAGATTTTGTGGAATTCTTGAAAATCGGAGACTCGGCAACAGGAGGTTATCCAAGTTTAAGGTCGAGGAGATCACACGGGGGATCGCCAAAGAGGTGGAAGAGAACCCGGAGACCCTCTGTTCGCGGCTCGTGGAGTTCCCCCTACGGGTCTTTCTCTTTCTTCTGGGTCTCCCCGTTTCTCTTGGATCGGTCGAGGTGCTCGATTGCCCGTAATGACCTTGAGAGCACCACGTCCAATTGGCGCGGAGATGCGCGTGGGTGGCGGAAAACGGCGTTCGCCAGCCGACGTCGGAGACTTCGATGCCGGGTAACGAAGTTCGCGTGAGCTTAACGAGCATCCGCCATTATGCGCGATTCGTGAAAAATCCCACATCATCGGTGCGCACCTTAGAAAACCTGAAGAACGCCTCTTCGACCCCTGCAAGCAGCTGGTCCCGGTAAACCTCTTCAAGATTTCTCTCCGCTTCTTCGACATTTCGCTAAATTCCAGTAGCTTTGGGTGTACATTATTAATAACTTGTCTCTCAGCGCCACAAATAAAGAAATATCCATAAAATTCATATCGATATTAAAAAATCTATTTTTCCATAAAGATACATTACTGCACATTTATTCTGAACTTCTGAAATAAATTGCAAATTTACCAACATCGCGTTATTGCCCCGCAAAGTTGTATAACAATTCCAATGACCATTACGTACTTCCGTGAACGCGATCGAAATTTCCGCGCCATGTCTGAAGAGACTAGAAAATAAATATTATAAAATTACGATACATCTTGTCAATAATTAGAATTAAATTTTCCTTTCATTCAGTTTTGCAATTGTGGCCTATCTTATTTATAACCTGAGATGATACATGAAATAGAGCTCTAGGAGAGTACGAGGAAGCGTATGCAGCTGCGATCAGATTTTCCGCGCATCTCTGTCCTCCGATTATTTCTTCATCACTCCGGCGATCTGGATTTCCGATTATTTCGAGGAAAGCCGGCACTTCGGGTTCCCTTCGGCGGCAGGTACGGCCCACGTAATGGTTCACTTCAGGGTTCAACAGCGAGTGTTCGCCTCTAACCGCTCAGCCATGAAACAGCCGCGGATGCATCGATAGGATCGTTAGAGCGGAATGCGAGCGGCGTTGCACCTCTTCTGAGTGCACTAGGTGCATCCCGGCGCGTAAACGCGTGTCGATCGCCCAAAAGTAGACCGTGGTCCCGGTCAAGACCGGTGAACGCGTTCTTCCTCGCTCATTCGACTGTCCAGCTGGTGTTTGATGCGCTCATAAAGCTCTTTCCTCCGATATGACCATTTCGAAAGAATGCGTATTGCATCGCCCCGCGTTTCGGAGCGCGTTACACTTTCGGGGGAACCGTAAAGAATCCGAAGAAGAATTTTATTTCGCTCTTCCTTTTGATCCTTCATCCCCTGCACTTTTCAGGGATCCCCTTGTTCTCCAGGATGGAAAATGTGGAATTTTATTTCCACCTTTGATCCTTTATCATCTGGATTTTTCCGGAAGATCTTGTTTTTCTTTTTTGCATAAAAAAGACTGGCTTTTATTTCGTCTTTCCTTATGCACCTTTATTCTCTGGGATTTTTCAGAAAGACCTTGTTGGAAATGGAAATCGAGAGCTTTTCGGCTTCCAGAATCTCCATGGAAGAGACTAACCAAAGTGAGCATGCGTGGCAAGATTGTGCATTATAAATTAGTGCAATTAGGGTCATTAACGTGCGGTGATACGTCCCAGGCAGCTACACGCTGTCAACGGTTTGTCGAAATTTATGAACCTTGGGGTTTATTATGGAAAGAGATGATGAGTGCTCAACTGACCGGCGGATTAATCGGAATTGTCGACGTGGTGTGTATCTTGGCGGCTACCGTGACATTGTCATGGTGTCGGTAATTTGTTGGACTCGTTCCAGGGAACTTGGACTCTACAAATCGTGGGAATCCAGTGCACAAGTTTACCAGGAACTCGAGCTTAAACACGTGATTCCCTGTTCAACGATTACACTTAACCTACCTGTATCTAATAAAATAGATACATGGAAACTCTAAAATGAGGGCTGCGAATCACATGAATTAAATCAAGGGAGCTTTGGGAAGAGGACCCCGAAGCGCGGTCCAACTTCTTTCATAAACGAGAAGCGCCATTGATTATCATTTTAATGCGTGAAATTTTCGATCAGCTGATTTCTCAATAGAGTGTTATTTCCAAGCAGGTGATAACTCACTGATGTGATATCGGGGTTATATCCCGATAATGTCCGGTCTTAAGGGTTGCTTAATTCATGGAGACTCTAAAGTCAGAGATGCACCCCCTGATGAAGATCCCGAAGAGCACTCGAACCACCTTCTCGCCACGACTCTCGGCAAGGGCAACGCTCTGCACCACCATAAACGAGAAGCACCATCGATTATCATTTTAATGTGTGAAATTTTCGATCGGCTGATTTCTCAATGGAGTGTTATTTCCAAGCACGTGATACCTCACTTCGGTGTGGTCACAGTGTTACGCCCCGATGATGTACAGTCTCGGGGGTTGCGTGCCGACCGAGTCTTACCCGTCATTTTCAATTATCATCGCCGGTACCCATCCGGCCGAGGAGGCAGAATCCTCGTCTCCTTCTTCGCCTCTTCTTCGTCTTCATCTTCCTCGGCATCTTCTGCGAGGTCACGTGCCCGCCCTCTCGGCGTCCCAGGAACTTCCCCTTCGACCGCGTCCCGAGCAAATGAAACCGCGAGCGAGGCAATTCTCGGAGCAAACTTCCCCCGTAATATCCGAATAAATGGGAAGTACTGTCGGTTTTAATTGAAAATCTTGCCACATTTAAAGAACGATCGTCCTTATGGCGATTGGAGACCACGTCGGGCTTCTAATTTCATATTTCCACAAGCCCCACCCTGAAAGAACAAATTCATAGAACGAAAGGAATATACCGTCAATTCAAAGAATAATTATTTCATTTCAATGAGCACAAATCCTCATGATTCCAAAGAAACAATGTAACCAATTTATTCGAGTTCATGTGAGTCAAATAAGTATTCTTTGGTTCAACGAAACTTCATCTCAGGGCACAGACTCCGGCGGCCATATTGGAATCACCCGAGAAAGCCTACCACCTCGCCACAGTTTTATTATCGAAAAATGATAAGATGTTCACTAAACACCATGCGAATTAGCGAGAAATTAGCCAGATCAAGTGCGTTTAAAAATTCGATTACGTCTTACACTTATCGGGTGCAGAAAAAGAAGTTAAGTATCAATACATTCAATCAACTGTAATTCTATTTTAAATAGTACCCCTTTCCCGCCATTTCGGAGTTTCGAAGCATGTCTAACCGAACGTGAGAATAATGATAAAATTCGCGTTAAAAAAGGCCCTGCGGAATTCCTTCGTCCGTCTAACACAATCCGCAGGATGTGCCCATCCCCGAGTTTCCAATTATCAGGTCAGCCATCTTCCGGCAGGGGTCCGTCCTCTTCCTCGTCACCTCCTGGAGGTCACGTGTTGCCTCCCTCGGTCCCGTCGGTGGTTCCAGGTAAATAAAACCGTGAGCACAATAACTGCGCGTGGCGATAGCAATCTCGAAGAAAGATGCCGCCGGATAGCGCGGGTGAAGGGGGGGACCGAGAGGGAGAGGAAGTTCGAAAGAGGAGGACAAGCTCCGAAACGGAGAGAGAACGCAGGAGGGAGTGGGGAACGGTAAAATGTCACTGTTCCCTAATTACTGGAAGTAACTAGCCTAAGGTGGGCGAAGAGCCGCGGAAACGGCCTAGCCGGAGATATCGGGGAGCGAGGGCCGAGCGCCGCCGTGGTCGGTACCGCTAACCGCGCCGACCAATCAGCGCGCGCGGTACAACGGAATCGACCAATCGGAGCGCCGCTTTGGCCGCGGCCCCGCGGGACCGCGCCGGCCCGGTTTATAAAGTCAGGCCGCCTCGCGGCCTCGAGGACAGACCCGTTCCGACAGCCCAGCCATCAGGACGTTTTCCAGAAAAGTGCGCGTGGCTCGCCCGCGGATCCACGTCGTTCCTCTTCCTCCTCCCGCTCCTCCCTCTCTTGCCGGGTTCGACGACGGTTAAGAGCCGGGATCGGGATTCGAGAAGAGTGACCGAAGCCGGAGGATCCTGAGGAGGATTAAGTGGCAGTGATTTAGAACCGTACCGGAAGCTCGACCTGTGGTGCCGCTCGCTCCTCAAGGTATGTTCCTCTAGACTTGCGTGAAATCTTTTTCAACCCTTTCATAAAATTCAAATGAACTTATCCTTTGTCATCTTTTTTTTTAGAAAACTGACGCCTCCCCCAAACGCGCATTTTACGTGATATTCGGTTAATTTTTGTACTTCTACTTGTTTAATTTATTTAATTTTTTAACGTTTCGTGTATTGCACCTTGGGGTCTAGTGGTTTAATATTGAGTGTTAGTAAAATTTTTTAGAGGTACTGAAGTTGAAGCCACACTCGTGATTTAGTTGTATTTATCTTGGATATAAAGTATTTTTGAAATTGAGGGGTTTTCTGTTTTAATTATGCACGTTCGAGGGGATATTAGTAATCAGGGATTTAATGAGACGTACAAAGGTCTTGGTATAATAATGTAGAGCGCCACTTGAGATCACGTGCGAGGATATTTTAATGCATTTATTTTTGTCCGCAACTTTTGCAATCACTAATGGGCTTTGTATGAGCACTTAGCTGAGTGATAACAGTGTTTAGACACTGTTAAACAATTAATCTTGCCGGGGGATTTGAGGAAGTCACTTATCGGTGCACTTCCGGACTGCAAGGAAATGTGTCCAGTACTTTTACGGTAATCTGGAGGCCACCTGTTGCCGTGCACCAGAACGATGCAGTAAACTGCACTTTGCAGTAACTAGCACTTTGCATCTTGAAATTTCTGACTGAAATCCGACGGCAAAAATAAATTACTGGCTTTGGAACACTTAATAATGTTCAATTAATACCCGAATATCGACACAGGATGTGATAATCGAGTGATTGTCCATGAAAACTGCAGTTCACAGTAAATAGTGCACTCACGAATCTCTGGATTTATAAATGTACTCCGACGTGGAATTAAAATCACTAATTTGGAGGATTTTTATAAAGCGCAAATATTATTTAAATATCGGGAATAGAGATTTGCAGATTCGAGGAAATTCCTTGATGTCTAAACGCTCCCCGAAGTGTACAGGGGCGGGCAATTACTCCTTAAGGCCGTATATTATTACTCATTACAGCAGAGTCGAGCGTAATGCCCGTGCCAGCTCCTGAAAATGATTTTTCGTTACCATGCAACTTTACGACGCACTTTATAGCACCGCATTTACGACTGCAAACTTATCAATAACAAACCACCCTGCAGAATTACAGGCACTTAACCGCAGCTTCAAAAGCGTTAAGGGCTCGCTCGATTCCCCTTTTACAGCTTCGATCTGGAAATTGAATAACATACGTCTTGGCGCGCATTAAGGGTAATTATGCAGTTCCTCGAGTAATTCCACTACGACGTGTAATTACGCGCTAAATGATACCCTGAATGGGGGAGTCTACGACCGCAGTAATATTGTTCATTTAGGAAGTCTTAAAAAATGTATATACCTGAAATTATGAGAGAAAAGGTTTAACTCTTTGAGTACGGAACCTTTTTAACGTATGGGCGAAATTCCTCAATACGGGCAGGGGATATTGTACCAAACGTCGGATCCATTTAGGCGTCCTTAGGACGCAAAGTGTTAAGGACGGCGATTTCATTTTTTGAGGAAGTAAAAATTACGTATGAAATTTTGTATGGGGCAGGAAAGCGGGATTTTGATGGGAGGGCCTGGGATCGGCTCTTTTCGGAATTTTTCGAAAGGAAACTCGATGACTCCCTTCGCCTTTGGTATGTCAAAATGGCGGAGATTCCCACGGTGTGCAGGCAAACCGAGTGCACGGTTCAAAGTCAGGGCCGGTGGGAACGTTGAGCAATGCCGGGGCTCATGGCTCCTTCCTGGACGAGCCTTCTGAAAACGTGAAAACGAAATTAGTCCCTCGACTCTCGCTCTTCTTCGCCGTGTGAAAGCTGCTTCGTAAAAAAAACTCGTCCGAACCTCGAGGAAGGGAAGTTCTTCGCGAACGACCTTAACGCTCTTTTCCGAAAAAATGAAGATTTATCGAGAAAATGCATCCATAATTGTCAAGCTTCGATTAAGTATGGAAACCGCAGCGTGAAGAATTCTAATATTAAAAACTGATTCTAAATGAAAAGAAGAAAATCCAATGGAAGGAAAAAAAGATTATTCAAACACTAGTCTAGAGAGCAATCCAAGATGATCGATTGTTGGCTCGGAGATGAGAAACGGCGAGAGAATTCAAGCTGACTTTCGATTGTCAGAAAAACAAAATAAAAGTGCGGAATATAAAAAATGGCGCCACCTTCGGTTCGATTTAGCCCCGTGTTTGGGGTGATTTTTCCACTGCCCTGGACACGAGCCGCGCATTCGTTTCTCGGCTAATGGAACGTGTTCAACAAGTGCTCGGACATTATTCAAGTCTGGTACTCTGAGAAAAAGGTAACACAAGAGGAGGAATTGAATGCCGAGTCGGTCGGGCGTTCCGGCGAGCCAGGTTCTGAACCCGGTTCGAGAAATAGAAGACGACGAATTTTAATTTCGAACTCGTTCTTCATCATCGTCCCACGTTCCTCGTGCCATCCTAAGTATAGCTTGCCGGGTTACCAGCTCGGAACAAAGTGCGCGTCCCTAGTCCGAGGGCGAAAGGGACGCGAAAAAGGAGGAGTTTCGGAGAGAGGCGAAGGTAGACGAAGCGAGCACCCTGAAGAGCAGAAGAAGAGCACCCCGTAAGAGGTAAAGGGGTACCAAGGTGGTTAGAAGATGGTACCAGGTTGGTACCAGGTTGTTTCAAGATGGTACCAGCTTGGTACCAAGATATCAAGCTGGTGTCACGTTCGTACCAAGCTGATATTAATTTGGTGTTAATTTGTTATCAAATAGGTGGTAATTTGGTACCAAGCCGGTACCAAGTCGGTACCAAGTCGGTACCAAGTCGGTACCAAGTCGGTACCAAGTCGGTACCAAGTCGGTACCAAGTCGGTACCAAACCGGTACCAAACCGGTACCAAGCCGATACCAAGTCGGTACCAAGCCAGTACCAAGCCAATATCAATATAGTACCTGAAGAGGAACGAGAAAGAACCCGGTCCATTAAATGGAGGACGTTTTTTCGTGCTTGTTGGCACGACCTGCCCCACTATCCGGTGGCCGGCCTGGCCTCTGAGGATCTTAGGCGCCGCCTGGACGTTGACCTCGCTCGTAGCCCTGACCAAGACCGAGCTACGAGTTCTCCGCTCTCTTCGCCTTCTCGGCGCCGGCACGCATGCGCGTGCACACTAGCACGCGCGCCCACGCGTGCATCGGCCGCAGAGCCGGCCGCGGCCGTTCCGCGCCGGGAATGCGGTCCTCCAGGTGGGTCTCACCTGCCGAAACGGTAACCAGGCCAAGGTCCCGCTGATGCGACGCCGTAAAAAGAGGATCGCGTCGAACAAGAAGAGGAGGAAGAAGACGACGAAATATCAAGATACTTATCTCTCAGTACGGTATATGCACGTTTATTGCCATCGTGATGGCCGCCTTTTTGGCTGCACCGAAGGAGCCTCTCCTCAGGGTAGACCTCGATGATCGAACCTGAATTTAATCAGGGCGGGGTCGCACTTTTACCCGGGTACGTCGTGGTGACTGAAGTGCAATTTCCATCCCGTTACTTCTCGCCGCACAGAAATGGTACCGAGGTCGGAGGTCGCGGATACGAACCTGGGAAAATGGCGGGCTGAGGCGAACGTCCATCGCCTTGTGCACCGGGGCCTTGTCTTCGGCCTCTGCTTCCGCGATTACGCTCGAACGTTGTTAGCGGTACCGTGCGAAAAAGGAATAATGCACACCGATTGCATCGCCGGTTGAATGAGAATTCGTACCGGAGCGCCTTGGAACGCGGACTTTGGGGTGAACGCAAGTAGGTCTTTCTTGAAGAGAGGTCACCGAGATTCCTCCAAATCGACGCGAAAAACCACACAAAATATTCCACCGGGTCATCGCCATGGCATCGAAGTGCAATTTGAACTAGCTAAAACCTCGAAATAAATATTAAGAAAAAATGGCACCCCTCAGAATCACCACATTGAGAAACAAATTGCGATCCTTCCAGTTCATCACTTTGCATAAAATTCCAATCACGTGGAAAACGTTTTTTTTTCCTCGACATAACCGTTCGCCAAAAATGGCACCACTCGAATCACCACATTTACCAAAAAACCTGTACTCTCTGCAGTTCTTCACTCTGCCTAAAATTCCTATCACGTCTACGTGATAGGAATTTCTTGAAGAAGTGCGCTCGCAGGAAGTGGGCCTCGAGGTCAAAGAACCTCAATCCCAAAAGACAGGGTCATTACACTATACACGAAATGAAAAAAGGAACACACGTAGGTGTGGCCAGAAATACCAGAAATGCATATTAGTCCCAAAAAGTGTAGGAAATATGGAGGCGATATCAGGGAAGTGTCCCAGTGGGGTATCGCGGAACCAGTGCGGAGATCCGATCCAGCCGGTACCAGCGGCCTCCTGAGATGGTGGCACTTCCATATGCAAATGTGTGTCATGCGTGGGCCCACGTAACGGGCCCCGGCGTGAATTGGGACCCACGATACTCGGCTTTGCCATGGGCCCGATTGCAAACCGTTAGAGAAGGTCGCGTTCGATTTTTACGATGGCCTATCAACAGCCAACCACGAACAGGCGGGCGTAATCGTATAACGACCCGCTCTCCATCTCCGGTTTTGAGACCAACAAGACCGAAACGAGCCATCGCCTCGGCACTAGCGAAGCTGGAGTTCTTGAAAGACTCGCAGGAAAATGCGAATCGGCAGCTGGAAATCGGTAAGGCGGTACCGTTTTAGGTCTTGGTTGCACTTCTGGGAACGGCCATCGCGATCGCTGACCTCGTTTCCCGGGGAAGACGAAGACGCTTCCTCCGCCGAGATAGAATCGGACGGTCCGCCGATTTTCTTCGGTCCCCGGTCCCGCAATAACCACTGACCGAGAACTCGGGATTGGTCCGGGCTTCTTCTCAAAGGCCCCCAGCGGCGCCATCTTGGTGCGGCCTCCTGCGGCAGAAGTAATGGTTCCTTGGTACCTGGAACCAGGAAGA